TCCCTAAGATAATAGTCTTTAACTTTTAGTTTATTATTTTGGTGTTTGCCTCCATATTTATAAACAATGAGCATGTATTGATACTTCTTGATTTTTCAGTTTTAGACATGTCTTTTGACTTCTTATAATGGAAGAATAGTTATTTTGTTATCTTTCCTTTCACCTTTTCTTGCCTTCATTTCTAATTCCTCCATTCTCCCAAATGAAGTTATAATTTTGGTTAGATCAATATTCAGTGTTTGCTTTGCTTTGACTATGTTTGCTATTCTGAGCTGCGCCAAAGAATAAACCATGACTTTTTCTTTTCCATGCTTTTTCTTAATCTCTGAATTCATTATGGTTGATTAGTTTATCAGTATTATTTGTAAGTATTTCATCTCCTAGTGCTCTGTTGTATAAATCTCTTTACATAATCTCCATTTACCTCAGGTAGTTTAGCCTCTGACTGGCTCCAGTCAGGTCCAGTTGCCCTCCGTGTGAGTGCACAGCTACCATCCTGGGGATTACGGCTGCCCATCTCCTATGTTTCTTCTATCCCAAGTGTTCTGCTTTCTTGATTTACTTCCTCCTTCTAACGGAGCACATTCTTTAGTAGCTTCCTGAGAAAGAGTACGGAGATAAATATTTTGAGATTTCACCTGTCTGAAAATTTTGTATTTTGTCCTTCCCCTTGATGAATAGTTCGGCTAGGGATGGAAGTCTAACTTGAAAATAATGTTCCCTCAGATTATTTAAGGCATTGCTCCATTGTCTTTTGGCTTCCAGTGTTCGACTATTGAGAATTCTGAGAATGTTATTATTCCTAACCCTTTAATCTGGAAACTCATGCCCTTTAGTTCTGGGAAGTATTGAGTTATATGGTTGATAATTTCCTTCCTTTCACTTTCTACAGCTTCTAAAATCCAGACGTCGGCCTGCTATTGAACAGGTTGAACAGTTTGTCCAATCTTCTTACCTTTTCTTTCTAGCTTCCATTCTTTGCCATTTTATTCTGCCTCCTCCGTGATTTCCTCAACTTAATCTTCAAATTCTTTTCAGTTTTTGCTATCGAGTGTTTAATTTCAAAGAGCTATTCTACCCCTGAATTGTCCTTTTTAAATGGCATTGTGATCTTTTTAAAATAGCTATCTTTATCTGACTATATTAGTATCTTTAGGTGTTTCCTTTTGGGTCCCTCACTTTCCCCAGAGAAAACTCCTATCTGAAGGATTAAGGGTGGGCTGCTAGCATTTTTGGAGCTCAAAGAAGAGGGGTGGGGGAGGTCAGGGCAGAGGGGAGGGTCTCAACATTCAGTATTCACTTTTTCCGTTTAATCCCCCTGCTTTGGATCTTAACAATGTGTTGGTGTCCCGGGGCCAAACAGCCAGAGACCCTCTGTTTTATCCTCTCCAGAAAATAAAATTTTAGACTATTGCCCAGGTAGTAGTAGGAGAGGTCACATCCCCAGTCCTTTTTTTATTTCCACTTTCAGAGATTCCTGGCCATCAATTTCTGAAGCGTTTGAAGATTCTTCAGGGTAAATTTGGTTGGTTCTCAGCTTTCTTTGCTGTTAGCTGAGGATTTAGCTTTTTCAGGATTGCTATCATCCATCTGCTTTTGTTTCCAAAATTGTGTTGCTGTTTTCACTTTTTCTATTCTCCCTGCCCTTGTGGTTTATGTCTTTAAAAACAAACAAACAAACAACAACAACTCAACAAAAAAAACTACTTATTGTTCTTTTAGTGGTGGGAGCAACACTGGGCGCATATATTACATCGACTTCCTCGCTTTTCAGCTCACTCCTGCCTTATTTTCTTCCCCTATATCTTTCACTGATATTGCTTGAGCTAAGGTCCCCAGTGACCTCTGGCTTATAACATTCATGTACCTTTTTTTAGTTTTCATTTTACAGTATCAGCATTTTGACCACTTTTTTTTTTTTTTGACGCTATCTAATCTTGCTTTAAAACCATGAAAAAACCCCAGCTTTATTGTGAAATAATTTATATATTATAAAATTCACCTTTTTTTAAAAAAAGATTTTTGGTATATTCACAAGGTTACACAACCATCACCACTATAATTCCAAAGCATTTTCATCACCCCCAAAATGAAACCCCTTACCCTTTAGCAGTCACTCCCGTCCTTCATTCTCTCAGCACCTAGAAATCACTAGTTTACTTTCTAGTTCTATAAATTTGCCTATTCTGGACATTTCCTATAAATGAAATCATAGAATATATGGTCTTTTGTGACCGAGTTCTTTCACTTAGCATAATGTAAAACTACTTTTTGCTTTAAAACCATCCCCTCTCCCTGACCTCTTCCTGGGCCAATGCCCCAGGCTCTGTTACAGTCTCTTCCTTTCTTCTCTGCCTGTCCTGTAGGTGATTGCATTCACTCCCCTAACTTGGAATACTACATGTGCCACTGACTCCCAGATCCATTTCTCTCACCCTGATCTCTTCCCTGAGCTCCAGACTCATAAAGTCACCTGCTGACTTGCCATTTTTACCTGGATGCTAACAGGCATCCAAAACTGATCATGTCCAAAACAGAATGGTTTTCATCCTGAGCCAACCCAGTTCTTCTCTAGTTGACTTTATTTTTTATTATTATTTTTATTATGGTGACATTGGTTAAGGAAATCCAGTAAGTTTCAAGAATACAATTCAACAGTAAGTCATATATATTTTGCATTGTATATTCACCTAGTTGACCTTATTTTAGAAAATGATACTAGCATCCTTAAGTTGCTCAAGTCAAAAACTTAATACAATGTATATCTCTCTGTGTGTTTATTCGTTTTAATTCTGTATCCCTCGCTAGTCTGTAAGCTCCATGAAGACAGAGCAGTGCCCATTTCGTTCACCATTGCATACCTAGTGCTTAGCACAGTGCCCATCATATGATAAGCAATAAATATTTGAATGAATGAATACAAAAAAAAAGAATAAGACAAAATTCTTGCTTTGCCTACAATTTTATTAGAGAAATCAGGTGTATTGTTAAAGGATAAAAAAGTACAAAATTACATGTCAAAGTAAGTAGTAATGCTTTGGGACTTCAGAGGCAGGATGATTAGGGAGAACTTCATGGAGACAGTGAGGAAGGGTAAGTTTTAAATAGGTGAAGACAAACATGAGCATAATAGCAAGCACAAGCCTGGAAGTGGAACGTCAGTTGTTTGGGAGATCATGAGACCACTACAACTTTAGAAACCATTTATAAAAACAATGCTTTCATTTTGGATAATTTGATTACTGGATACTGGGAGGTAGAATACACTGCAGTACATTGTAGGAAGAAGTGCAGTAGTACTGCAAATGGGAAGAACCTGTAGCAATCATGCTGCCAGATACCCTAAGGAATCAGGTATTTTATATTCAGTCTTTCATTTGGGCATCAGTATAAACAAAATTATGTTAAATGCAAATGTAAAGTTTTGGCATAAAAACAATCGGAAAAGTTTAAACAATCTGATTTTGAAAATTATTTTGTTTGCAGTTGAAGAACTCGCTCATTATGCTTCAGAGAACTTTTGATCTACTAAATAAGAACAAGACTGGCGTGGCTGTGGAGAGCTAGTGATCTTAAGGACCGAAATTGTAGAACATCTAGGAGAAAACCAGAGGATGAAGGATTTTATTGTCATAGGAACATTTCCATATTTTCTCATTATTGGTACTTCTAGTATGAACATTTTTTTTAATAACCTCTGATGGCCTTAAGAATCCATTCTTTCACTTCTTATACATAATTCTAAGCTGTGAATTTCTCCAGTGAAGGATGAAATATATTGTGGATTTGAATTTCTGTGATACCAAAAGAAAATCTGAACTGAGTGATATGGCCTCATTTTTACAATGAGGTTAGAAGTTTCATGCTTTATCTGTTAGCACGGAATCAGTACGTGTTCAATAGGCTGTTCCACAGTTGAGATACATTCAAGAGGCTACAGATGACGGTATAAGAAGAAACCTATAAGTCCTTATGAATTTTGAAGGATCAGTTTTCAAGCATATAACATTTCTAGGTTTGTGTACTGTATTACAATGTTTTCATTCATTTAAAATGCAATTTCAATAGTCAGACCTTTGACTGCATGTTGATTATTATATGAAAGGTTCTTCGGCCATGTTGTATTGTCATGAAAGAAACAGTTGTTTCTTCTTCAACTAGCTATCAGAGGTGAGATTATCTTGCCTTTTCATACATCAAGTGGCAGAAGAGTCAATTTCAGAAAAGGAAACATGTAGGATACTAACAATCAAAATGAAGAACCATGCTGAGTTTTAAAAACCAGATTCGGTTAAAATCTGGGCATTTAGTGACAGATCAAATAAATACTTGAACTAAGCTTGGCTTCAGCTTAGCACTCTTTCATGGTGGAAGAAAGCCATCTTGTTTAAAATAATTTGTGGATTAATTTTCAGTAGCTACATGTGGTTTCATTTATTCATTCATGTGTGTGGCTTGTTTTACTCATTAAGTTATAAGCCAGACACAGACTTTAGCTCTTTAATAAAAACTTTTGGGTGTATTATCTCCCAATACAAGTGTACTGACTGAAGTTGTCAGACACAAGCTTCGGCTCTTTCATAAAAAGGTTTTAGGCATTATGTCTCAATACAAGTGATGTCTCTGATACAAGCGAAAGATAGTGCAGAATAATTTGTATATATCCTTACTGTTTGAACAACTATTGCCTTTAAACATTTTTTTCCCCAGTCACCACAGCCACATGGGATTACTAAAGTAATTTTTGAGATGTCTGTAAAGACCGAAAAGTATTGACCTGAGTAGGGGAAAAATGGGTTTCTCATGGTGAATCCCAACTCACCTACTTTGGGTTACCAGTGTACCTACCTGGAGGTTTTTTGGTAAGGATTTACGAAATGTCTGGCTGTGAGAATAGTGACTGGATCATAAACTTGAAACCTTATTCTGTTAAATTCACAAAAATGATCAGTGACAAGCTGAATATTTTTGAGATATTTCTTTAAAGCTTGTGCTTCATTACATACCTCAAAGAAAACCAAAGTAAGTTGCTTTATAAAGACTATGGATGATGAATTCAATTAATTGTATTTGAGTATGTTATGTAAATTGAATATCAATAAAACCCCAAATCTTCGAGTTGTCGTTTTTTTCTTTTCCGTTTACGCCCCCCGCCCCCAAATAAGCCTGCTTTAGTGAAAACATGTACATGGACCTACATTCTTTAAAATTTTGTGCAAAAATAAACCCCAAAGAGAACGCTCATCTTAGGGCAGTTTCATTTCAACTATGCAGACTGATGGAGCAAAGTACTAGATAGGCTTGAGGATCTAATGTAGAGACTGCTCACCAGAAATGAAAAATTAACAAGTTGGATAATTACCAGATCAGAACAGTAATGGGCCTTTAAGGGAAGGCTAGCGAATCTGGGGGGCGGTACCTCGGTAATACTTGGCGGTGGCGCTCTCCCACAACGCCTGTTGCGGACGTCTGTTGCGGGCTGGCTGCCCCCACGGGACTCGCGTACTTTAGAAATCTTCTGAGTTCCCTCCCGGGTCGCCCGTCTTTCAGCCTCAGCCGCCACCCCTCACCCGCCCACGCGCCGTCCCCAGGCACCCGCGG